CCGGTGCTGTCGACTTGGCAGGTGCGGTCGGCTTCGCCAGGTCGGCCTTGGTCTTCGGCATCTGCTCCTCCCAGGTGTCTGGAAAGAGGGCTTCGAGCCAATCGGCCGGCTTCAGATTGAGCGCGACAAGCCCACAGGCGAGGCGAAGCTTAGAGACGACCTTGGGGCCCAGCCCCTTGACTCCCATGCCAGGCTCTTTCGACTTCATCGGTTCCGTTTTCGGGTTGAGCACCGTGAGGGCGTCACAGAAGGTCCCAATGCCCGGTGCCGCGATCCTGTTCAGTGCGTCGACCACGGCCTCGGTGTCGGCGTCGCCGTCGCTCGCGCGTAGCTGGCGCACCGCATCCATGGCCCTCATCATGCGTCGCACTTTCGTGTCGAGCCCACCCTGCGTCGCGCCCTTTCCTGTGAGGAGGGTGTGGCGGGCGACGAATCCCTTCTCGGCGACCCTGTCGCAAAGGCGACGGGTGTCATTGGCGGTGGCGGAATTCCATAGGCGCCAAGCGTCCCTCACAGTCTTTGCCTCCCGCCACGGTTGCACCACGTTGAGCTCGTAACTGGCCTCCTCGTCCGTCTGTGGGGGGGGCGGGGGTTTGTCATCCCCTTTCTTGGCTCCAGCCCCCGTGCTGGCCGACTCCGCCGATCCACCATCGCTGGGAGTCTGCGCGGGAGCCGACGGCGGGGCCACCGGCACTCTCCGTGCTTCCGACAAGCGGAGTGCCTCGGTGACACGGGCTAGCTCGGCGGTGAGCCCAGCGATGGTGTCGTCGCGCTTCTCGATCTCCTCTAGGAGATCAATCTTCTCGTTCGCGGCGCGCTCTTTCTCCTTCTGCATCTGGGCCTTGAGGGACATGTTGTAGTACTCGGTGTCCATGCGCACCGAGATTTCCTGCAGCAGTAGGAGGAGGAAAACGTGAGGGCCGCGGTGGTTTGGTTTACACTCCCTACTGCACGTCGGCGACAGTATCGTCGACTTACCTCTGGCTGTATTTGGGTCGGGTCGCGACGCTTGTTGATCGTCTCGGTGTCGACGCTCTCCACCCGTTTCGCCCAGTGCTGGAAGAGGGGGATCCGGCAGAGCTTGGAACCTTGGACGTACGGGTGCCATGGTGTGCGGACTAGCTTCACCGCTAGGTCCTCGGCGACGATGCGGCGCAGCATCAGGAGAGTGCGCCAGAAGTGCACCGCGGCTTTGTCGGCGTCTGACCCCTCGACAGCCTTCCCTTCCGCCTGCCATTTGTCACGGGTACGGGGAGCTCAGAAAAGGTCGGCAACACGACTCGGCGGCAAGCTACGAGGGCGTCGACTAACATACCTCCTTCAGCATGTCGTCGACGCCGGGGAATATGTGCTCGGCGAGGAGCTTCAGGAGCTTCTCGGAGGGCGGCACCCTGCTCCGACCCAAGAAGTAGTCCTGCTTGTACCCCGAGTACCCGGCCTTCTTCATCACCACCCCCACCGGAATGGCGGTGATGTACGCTCGCGTCATCTTGTCGAGAGCCCAGTGTCCAAGCTCCGCGATCTCGGCGCGCGGCGTGCCGTCGATAGCCAGCTCCTGGGCCCCGCCCGCTCGAGCGGCGTGCACGTTCCTCTTGCAGAACACCTTGTTGGTGTCCCACAACTGCCGCGTCCAGCGTTGGTGGGTTGCCGCAGAGAGCTCACCCTGGTCGGTGTCGTTTTTGGCGAAGAACAGGTGCTTCTTGTACCAGCTAGCGCGTGTGCTGGTGTCGACCGGCGGAATGAGGCGGACGCCGTGAAACTGACCGATCTGATCGAGGACGAAGTGCAACCACAGGCCCGTCTCGCCGACGGCGCACAACTCCGCTTCGAGGTGCCGCGCGGCGTAGCTCTGCTGCAGACGAGCATCCTTGGACGTCTTCGAGTTCCGCGCTCCGATGACCATGACGACCGGCTGGTTCTCCGGGTTGATCGAGGAGGTGCTCGCCAGTCGGTACAAGAAGATGTCGGGGAGAGTGATCTCGCGGATGCTTGCACCGCGCAGGAGAGAGTGGTGGGAGAGTAGCGTGAGCACCTTCAAGAGAAGAAACCTCCACAGCGTCTGCGAAGGACCCGTACCCCGCGGGTTCCACGCCTTGGCCGCCCACGCCGGCAGCACCCTGAACATGATCTGGCGGAACTGTTCGGCGGTGTAGGTATCGCCGATGGTTCCGCGACGGCGATCGGCGCAGTTCCTGCCAACAATGCCATGGGCAAGGGGTATTTAGGGCGGCGTCGACAAAGATCATGACAGCAGGAGAGTGGTCGACGTAGGTTAAAACATAAACTCACTTGATGTCCCGCTCGTTCTTGGTGCGGATCATGTACCGCACCTCCGACCTGACCACCGATATCTCCCTCATGATGCTCAGTTCCGTCTCCCGGAAGAGCGTCGCCTCCACTCTCGCCGCCATCTGGCATGCCTTTATGCGCCCGAGGAGCGTGTGTACCGTTGTCGACTGCACCGGCTGTGTTCCTGTGGCGTTGTCGGCCCCCTTGCCGGACTCGGCATCGAGGTTCAACTCCCGAATCATGTACTTCACGTATGCGCGAAGCCGGTCCTTGGTGACCCTAGGGCCGTGCAGCCACACGTGAGACCGGGGGACATCGGCCTCTTGGTCCCAGTTTTTCTTCTTGTTCTCCCGGATGTAGTGCCCTATCTCGTCGACGTGCTTAAGCCTGTACTCCTGCGGAAGCTTGTTGCGAATTTGCTTCAACATCTTCGCCGCCCACCTCTTGTAGTGATAGATCCACGAGGTGTACTGCCTCAGCGTGCTGTTCCTCTCCACGGTTTGCAGGTGGCGAAGAGCGTCCATGACGAGCACGTCTACGCACGCGTAAACCATGTCCTCCTCGACGAAGTCTGCCGCTCTCCACTGTTCGCGCGGCACCGCCAAGTTCTCCTGGTCCTCGTCCTCGTCCTGGTCGAGCAGTATGTCGATGAATTGCAGTTCCCGCCTGAGTCGTTCGTCCAAGGTGCGCGGATTAGAGCTACGAGGTGGACGGTCGTCGTTTTCGTCATCGCTTTCCTCCTCCTCCTCCTCCTCCTCCTCCTCCTCCTCCTCCTCCTCCTCCCCCCCCTCCTCCTCCGCGTCCTCGTCATCGACCTGGTTTCCAGGGGCGGCCGGTGCCGACGAGGTACCTGGCCGACCATTTTGCGTAGGAGTCTGTTTTTTCTTCTTGTTGAACTTCCCTATCGGCGGTGGCGGAACGTCCGTGGTGAACACCCCTTCTGGGATCTGCGTCAGCTTGTCCAGATCGTAGAGTAACTGCAGGTTGTCTTCGTCGGTAGGTGTCGGACTGTGGTCGGTGGATGTCGGACTGCGGTCGGTGGTCGTCGGACCCTGGTCGGTGGATGGCCTAGCGTCGGACATGTCGACGTCGGCCATGTCGGTACACGTCTGCTGCTCTACCGTCGTCCGTGTGCGTTGGGGAGGTTGTTAAACCACTGCCGGTACTGAGTCACGGGTGCGGTGTACGCCCGAACAGTTGCGCGGCGGTCGTCCTCGAGATGTCCCTCAATAACGTCTATCTCGGCGTCGACCTCGAGATCGCGGGGGGTGGTAAACCAGAGACGGTACTGTGTGACGGGTGCGGCGAACGCGCGAAGCGTCAGGCGGTCTTCGTCTTCTTCGAATTCTCGCTCAAGCGCGTCTAACTCGGCTTCGAGTTCAAGCTGTTCCAGCTGCGCCTTGATGTCGGCGTCTACCGAGTCGGCGGGGGGTGGGATGGGTTGCGGCTGTTGGGCCCTCGGGCGACCTCTGGCCATGCGTCGCCGACTTGCTACGTCGACTCGCGACGTGGAACCTGTGCCGACTTGGACGAACAATCGGCTGTCGAGCAACCTACAGGCGCGATGACAGACTGGCAGCTGAAAATTCTAAGGGAACGAGAGAGCAGGAAGGAACGCAGGAACGGACAAGCGAATGAGCAGGCTCGCGGGGCAACGGACGGGTATGGTCCTGAGCGACTACGATGCTGCCGCGCGTCACGCACACCCCAATGCATCCGCCGCCGTGCATGTGTTCTCGTAAAGGCGGCGCACTGTCCGACGTGGCACGTGCCAGGCATGGCTAGCTGGGCGCCGCGCTGCACGGAAGGGGCGTAAGCCAGTGCCATTCCACGTCGGAATGGGCGTGCGTTACGTGGCTTGCGACCGCCATTGGCGCCCCAGTGCAGAAATTAAGGCAAGCAGACATGGATCTCCCGGAGGCCCGGGATGACTCAAGCACGGCGTGGCAACCATGCCGTGGGGGGCCTATGATCGGCGCCGACTTCCACTCGGCGCGCTTGGCAGAGAACGTGCCGTGTGGCCGGGTTTGTGTGCCTTGGGATGATCTGGTCGACACCGACTTCCCTGGCAACCCGCGATGCCACAAGACAGTGAAGATGTGGACGGTCCGATTTGCGCCGCGTGGGTTTGCACCGCTAGAGCGACGCGTGGCCACGACGCCCACGTCGTGGCAGCCTTGTAATCGGTGGGGCGGGTCTCGCACCTCCCTATTGGTCCGCGTGGAGGCATCCGCGGCTCGACGTGGCGAATTTTGTCCGCTGAGATTTCCTTCTCAGGAATCTCCCATCTCCCAGCGCAAACGGGTGTCGTCGGATTGTCGACAATCCCGAGGGCTCCCGAGGGCTCCCGAGGCCCCTGGGACGCCATTTGGGCCCGTCTGGGAGCTCGGAGGTCGTCGGGAGGTCGTCAATCCCGAGGGGGGGCCTTGTCCCTTTTGAACCGCGAAATTGGGCGGCATTTTTCGTCCGCTGAGGTATATCCTCCCGTATCCGTCACCGGACGATCTCGTCAACGTACATCACAGTAGCAAGTAGTTCTGTGCAAATTGGAGAGCGTTAGTCGATACAGAGAGGAGCCATCGAGCTATTAAGACGCAACCAGGGCGGCGACTTCACCACATACCATTTCACTTTTGTATGTTCGACACTGAACGAAGCCTAGGAAGTCGCCGCAAGCGAGTAACATTTTCAGCGCGAAAAAAGACGTGCAGATGAAAGACGACGTCGCTCAACAGGAAAAGAAAAGTGACGTTGGTAAGAAGGACGAAGAGATGGAGGATGCTGAGGAAGCAGCTGCTGGTGTCCAGGAAGTGAAAACGGAGGACAAGGGCAAGGGGGATGAGGAGGATGAGGATCAGGTGGAAACGATCGGAGACGGCGATGATACCGAGGAGCTCGCGGTGATCGAGGCCGAGGAAGTGGAGGAGGGCGACGACGGCGAGCAAGCAGGCGACGACGACGAAATGAACGACGTCGACGAGGAGGAGATTGAGCCAGCGGAAGAGGACGACCCTCATAAAGACGAGCCGCACTTCAACGAGGTAGCAATAACAATTGCGTGTTTATCGTCAATAGTTCCTCCCGCCGGGTCTCAATAAATTGCATCTGGCTCTATGGCTCCACTCTACTCTGTGTTTCCTGCAATCTGGTCTGGTCGCATTGCAGCGCAAGGAGATAGCGAGGAAGGAGAGGGAGCGGCTGAGGGAGATGAAGCGGAACAAGAAGAGGGAACTGGAGGAGCTCATCAAGAGGCAGAACGACGCCGTGCAGGCTGAAACGGTAAGCACGGGACTGCCGAGAGTTTCTTGCTGTTATTCTGAGGAAGGAGAGGGAGCGGCTGAGGGAGATGAAGCGGAACAAGAAGAGGGAGAAAGAGGAGCTTATTAAGAAGCAGAACGACGCCGTGCAGGCTGAAACGGTAAGCGTGGGACCTTGGGGGGCCTCGTACTGTTATTTTGAGAAAGAAGGGTAGCCCGAGGGAGGCGAAAGTTGGGCAAGAGGAGAGGAGGTCATTTAGGCCGAACCGAACACAATGAGTGCATGCCGAAACGGTTAGTATTCGACTTTGGAGGCGCTCTTTTCTGCACGGTTAGTTATAGAGCGAAAGGGATAAGCCGAGGTAGCTGAAGAGGAAGCATCAGACAGAGTCCTGCTGCACTATGTCCTCACTCGATTCACTATGTCCTCCGTTCCTGAGTAGGCTGACAGAGCCAAGGGGAGGCTTAACTTTCTGCTGCAGCAACAGACTGTTGACTGAACCTGAAAAACAAAACAGCTACTTGTGTCCCTCTGTTCCTCCCTTGGTTCCCTTTTTCCTCCGTTCCTGGGCAGGCTGACAGCGCCAAGCGGAGGCTCAAGTTCCTGCTGCAGCAGACGGAGATTTTCCAGCACTTTGCACAGCAGCACGACTCGCCTGTGAAGCCGAAGGTCAAGGGCCGAGGCAAGGAGTTGACTTCTGAGTCGACACAAAAGTCAAGTCAACCCTGTTTTTCCCCTGGTTCCCTAATCCCTCCGTTCCCGGGCAGGCTGACAGTGCCAAAGGGAGGCTCAAGTTCCTGCTGCAGCAGACGGAGATATTCCAGCACTTTGCACAGCAGCACGACTCGCCTTTGAAGCCCAAGGGCAAGGGCCGAGGCAAGAAGACTCAACAGTAATTTCTGCTTTTTCCTGGCTCCCTATGCTTTTCGTACCTGGGCAGGCTGACAGCGCCAAAGGGAGGCTCAAGTTCCTGCTGCAGCAGACGGAGATTTTCCAGCACTTTGCACAGCAGCACGACTCACCTGTGAAGCCCAAGGGCAAGGGCCGAGACAAGGGGCGGGGTCGAGGGAGCTCGAAGCTGACAGAGGAGGAGGAGGACGAGGAGTATTTGAAGGAGGAGGAAGAGGCGCTGGGGGACGGCGGCAGCACCACCAGACTGCTCGTGCAACCCTCTTGTAAGCTCTGGCTTTTTTGTAAGCTTCAGGTGTCATCCCCTGTTTTGTTTGTTTGAGCTTTTTTTTTTGTCTGGCTGTGAAATTTACATGTTAGGTGCTGACCATGTTGGATGTCGACCACTGTGATTGGTTTTAATGGTTCTGTTTGCTCAATCTGCCCGTTTTCTAGGTTGCGGCTGGTTAGCTGCGAGATTTACCGTTCATCTTTCTTGCTCTTACTGCTCAAAATTATATTGCTTGCATCACGAATACTCTGCCCCGCCATCCCCGCCCTCCTCTGCTGCTTCCCACCTCACCCCAGGCATCCAGGGCAAAATGAGGGACTACCAGCTGGCGGGACTCAATTGGATGATCCGGCTCTATGAGAATGGCATTAATGGGATTCTGGCTGACGAAATGGTGAGATAATATGCAAACTAAAACGGTGCGTAGTCTCAAGAATTTTGAGTCCCGAGTCATTTCGTGAATGTCCACAGGAATTGAATCCACACGGTTAACAGGAACAGAAGATTTTATATGTGATTCGACGACGGCATGTTAGCCTCTGCTCCCCTCCTCACCCGATTTCCGCCCTCTCGTCTCCTTTTCCGCTAACCTCCACACCTGCGCCTCGGACCTCACAGGAAATCCCATCCCCATCCCGCTCCTATCACCATTCCCCCCTTGCATCTCTCACAGGGCCTGGGCAAGACTCTGCAGAGCATATCGCTGCTGGGGTACCTGCACGAGTTCAAGGGCATATCAGGGCCGCACATGGTGGTGGCACCCAAGTCCACGCTGGGCAACTGGATCAAGGAGCTCAATCGTTTCTGCCCCGTGTTACGCGCCTTCAAGTTCCACGGCAACCAGGAGGAGCGCGCCCACCAGCGCACGCACATGCTGCAGCCGGGGAAGTTTGACGTGGTGGTGACGAGCTACGAGATGGTGATTAAAGAGAAATCGGCGTTCCGGCGGCTGTCGTGGCGGTACATCATCATTGATGAGGCACACCGCATCAAGAACGAGAACTCCATTCTCTCCAAGACCATGCGCCTCTTCTCCTCCAACTACCGTCTGCTCATCACCGGCACTCCGCTTCAGGTATGCTGTAGCCTGGAGGCTGGCTGGACTCCCTCTTCCCCTTCCCCCACCCCCTCCCTCTCCCCACCACCCTCCCAACCTGCTGTAACCGGACAGGCATGCTGTATGCTGACTGTAAATTGACTCCCCCGCCCTTCCCCAGCTCTCCTCTCACCCTCGCACCTCCTCCTCCAGAGACCCTCGCACACACAACTCGGACCCTTTCTGCGATTCATTTCTTTCTCACTCCCCTCCCCACCCTGCAGAACAACCTGCACGAGCTGTGGGCGCTGCTGAACTTTCTTCTGCCGGAAATCTTCAGCTCAGCAGAGGCGTTTGACGAGTGGTTCCAGCTGTCAGACGGGGAGGACCAGCAGGAGGTGGTGCAGCAGCTGCACAAGGTGCTCAGGCCGTTCCTGCTCAGACGGCTCAAATCTGACGTGGAAAGAGGGCTCCCTCCCAAGAAGGAAACGATTTTGAAGGTACTACCACGTGTGGATTGACTGACTCGTGAGTTGACTCAAATGTCAGACGGGGAGGACCAGCAGGAGGTGGTGCAGCAGCTGCACAAGGTGCTCAGGCCCTTCCTGCTCAGACGGCTCAAGTCAGACGTGGAAAGAAGGCTCCCGCCGAAGAAAGAGACCATTTTGAAGGTAATACCATGTGTGAACGTACTTGTAAGTCGTCTCAATGCCTGACGGGGAGGACCAGCAGGAGGTGGTGCAGCAGCTGCACAAGGTGCTGAGGCCCTTCCTGCTGCTCCGGCTCAAGTCGGACGTGGAAAGAAGGCTCCCTCCCAAGAAGGAGACCATTCTGAAGGTACGAGTATTGCCTCATGCAAAGCATAGTGGGTGGATGTGCGTTGGGAGGCGCCTCAGAAATCAGGTGTAGCAGAAGCAGAGAGAGTAGGCGTTTGACTCGTGGTTCCAGCTGTCAGACGGGGAGGACCAGCAGCAGGTGGTGCAGTGCAGCAGCTGCACAAGGTGCTCCGCCCCTTCCTGCTCAGACGTGGAGTGGAGCGAGCGCTCCCCCCCAAGAAGGAAACGATCTTGATGGTCAGTCCATACGTGAAGTGCCAACCAACTAGTACAGGGCGCTGCCACAGAAGATCATAGAGGTCTAGACCTTTCCAGTCAGCCTTTTTTAACCTGTTTCTCTCCCTACGCACTGCGCCTTCCATCTCCCCACCCTGCCTGTGGTCACTGGTCAGGTGGGCATGAGTGAGGTGCAGCGCAACTACTACCGGGCGCTGCTGCAGAAGGACATAGAGGTCTAGCTCTTTCCCATCAGCCTCTCTAACAGCTTTCTCTCCCTACGCTCTCTGCCATCAGGTGGGCATGAGCGAGGTGCAGCGCAACTACTACCGGGCGCTGCTGCAGAAGGACATAGAGGTCTAGCTCTTTCCCATCAGCCTCTCTAACAGCTTTCTCTCCCTACGCTCTCTGCCATCAGGTGGGCATGAGCGAGGTGCAGCGCAACTACTACCGGGCGCTGCTGCAGAAGGACATAGAGGTCTAGCTCTTTCCCATCAGCCTCTCTAACAGCTTTCTCTCCCTATGCTCTCTGCCATCAGGTGGGCATGAGTGAGGTGCAGCGCAACTACTACCGGGCGCTGCTGCAGAAGGACATAGAGGTCTAGCTCTTTCCCATCAGCCTCTCTAACAGCTTTCTCTCCCTACGCTCTCTGCCATCAGGTGGGCATGAGTGAGGTGCAGCGCAACTACTACCGGGCGCTGCTGCAGAAGGACATAGAGGTCTAGCTCTTTCCCATCAGCCTCTCTAACAGCTTTCTCTCCCTACGCTCTCTGCCATCAGGTGGGCATGAGCGAGGTACAGCGCAATTACTACCGGGCGCTGCTGCAGAAGGACATAGAGGTCTAGCTCTTTCCCATCAGCCTCTCTAACAGCTTTCTCTCCCTACGCTCTCTGCCATCAGGTGGGCATGAGCGAGGTGCAGCGCAACTACTACCGGGCGTTGCTGCAGAAGGACATAGAGGTCTAGCTCTTTCCCATCAGCCTCTCTAACAGCTTTCTCTCCCTACGCTCTCTGCCATCAGGTGGGCATGAGCGAGGTGCAGCGCAACTACTACCGGGCGCTGCTGCAGAAGGACATAGACGTGCTCAACAGTGGAGGGGAGAGGTCTCGCCTGCTCAACATTGCCATGCAGCTGCGCAAGTGCTGCAACCACCCCTACCTCTTCCAGGTACTGCTTCCATCCTCGTTTCATCCCATTTTTTCTTTGGTTGAAACACTTACGCTGGCGCCGTTGTAGACACACGCACCCAGGAAGATCAGGGTTTGTCGGCGCTTTTGAGCCTCTAGGTCTGCTTGAACTTCACTTTGGCAATGTGTGCAGTATGCTATTCTTTCTCTCAAGTGTCCTGTGCGTCCTCCTACTCCCCCCACCCCCAAACTTTCCAGGGAGCCGAGCCAGGTCCGCCATTCATCACGGACGAGCATCTGATAGAAGCTTCCTGGAAGATGGTGCTGCTGGACCGGCTGCTGCCGAAGCTGAAGGCGCGGGACTCACAAGTGCTCATCTTCTCACAGATGACTCGCCTGCTAGACATCCTCGAGGACTACTGCATGTTCCGTCACTCCCTCTCCAAAACCCCGCACACTCCCTCCTCCTTCCTCTCCCCACCCCCTCCCCCCTGCTCCCCCTTCCCCCTTCCCCCTCCTCCCCCCTTCCCCCCCACCCTTCCAGGGCGCCGAGCCCGGTCCGCCATTCATCACGGACGAGCATCTGATAGAAGCTTCCGGGAAGATGGTGCTGCTGGACCGCCTTCTTCCGAAGCTGAAGGCGCGGGACTCACGGGTGCTCATCTTCTCACAGATGACTCGCCTGCTAGACATCCTCGAGGACTACTGCATGTTCCGCCGCTCCCTCTCCCAAACCCCGCACATTCCCTCCTTCCTCTCCCCACCCCCTTCCCCCCCTCTCCCCCTTCCCCCTCCCCCTTCCCCCTTCCCCCTCCTCCCCGCTTCCCCCCCACCCTTCAAGGGCGCCGAGCCCGGCCCGCCGTTTATCACGGACGAGCATCTGATAGAAGCTTCCGGGAAGATGGTGCTGCTGGACCGGCTGCTGCCAAAGCTGAAGGCGCGGGACTCACGAGTGCTCATCTTCTCCCAGATGACTCGCCTGCTGGACATTCTCGAGGACTACTGCATGTTCCGCGGGCACCAGTACTGCCGGATTGATGGAAATACCGGAGGGGACGAGAGGGAGGCGGCGATTGAGGAGTTCAATAAAGAAGGGAGCGAGACGTTTATCTTCCTGCTGTCTACCCGGGCTGGCGGGCTGGGAATTAACCTCGCGACGGCTGACATTGTCATTATCTACGACTCTGACTGGTGAGTAGAGCTTGGCATCAACAGATGACCTGCCTGCTGGACATTCTCGAAGACTACTGCATGTTCCGCGGGCACCAGTACTGCCGGATCGACGGCAACACGGGGGGTGACGAGAGGGAGGCGGCGATTGAGGAGTTCAATAAAGAAGGCAGCGAGACGTTCATTTTCCTGCTGTCTACCCGGGCTGGTGGGCTGGGAATCAACCTCGCCACGGCTGACATTGTCATTATTTACGACTCTGACTGGTGAGTCGAGAGATGCTCTCGTGTGTATCTGAGATATCTGTAAACACCCTGTCCGTCTCTTGTCTCTCCTTTCTCTAGGAGCCTCTGAGCAGGCCTTCAGGCCATGGACTGCACAAGATCATCTCTCCCCACATGCCATCTCCCCACATGCCATCTCCCCACATGCCATCTCCCCACATGCCATCTCCCCACATGCCATCTCCCCACATGCCATCTCCCCACATGCCATCTCCCCACATGCCATTTCCCCACATGCCATTTCCCCTCTTTCTCGACACTTTCGCTCTCGGCGTTGCAGGAATCCCCAGGCAGACCTGCAGGCCATGGACCGAGCACATCGTATTGGGCAGAAGAAAGAAGTGCAGGTCTTCCGATTCTGCACTGAGGTGAGCTGCCCCTACCCATCCCTCCTGCCTGCCCAACTTTTTCTCTCGTTCCCTCCATCGTTTACTCCCTCCCTCTCTCTTTCTCCCGCCAGTTTGCACCGAGATGAGCTTTCCCTACCCATCCCTCCTGCCCGCCCAGCTTGTCTCTCTTTCTCTTTCTCTCACTCCCTCCATCCTTTACTCGCTCACTCTCTCTCTCCCCCGCCAGTTTGCACTGAGATGAGCTTCCTGTGGTCGTTTATCCCTCTTGCCCTCCCTACATCCCTCCCTCCCTCTCACCCTTCCCTCCTCCCCTTCCCTCCTCTCGTTTCCCTCTCCCCCTCCTCCCCCCTGCATAAGCATCTTCTATCCATAGCATTACGAGATTCTTGTTGCAACTTTGCACCACAGTTCACCACGTTGAATTGACTTTCTCCCCCTAGCCCCGCCCGCTCCTCTTCCTTCCCTTTCCACCTGGCAGCACACAATAGAGGAGAAGGTGATTGAGCGAGCATACAAGAAGCTGGCTCTGGACGCACTCATCATCCAGCAGGGCAGGCTCGCAGAGCAGCGAGGTACGCCAGTCATTTGCTTGGTAATGAGGGGCATGGTTTGCTGCTGTGTGAGTGTGTGGGGTAGGAGGTGTGCTGAGCTGATAGGGGAGTGTGTGTCACAAGGTGTGATGGAGCGCGCGTATAAGAAGCTGGCTCTGGACGCACTCATCATCCAGCAGGGCAGGCTGGCAGAGCAGCGAGGTACGCGCACAAGTGGCTAGATTGGGTAGATTGCTGTATACAGGGGTTGCTTTTGGGTTCTTTGTCTCCCCCCTCGCTCCCCACCTCGCCCTTCTTTTCCCACTTCCCCTCCCACCATCTCATCTCCCCACACATACACAGCTGTCAATAAGGACGAGCTGTTGCAGATGGTGCGGTTTAGAGCGGAAAAGGCGTCGCATCTGCCACACAACCATCACCGGCACTTACCTGCTGGTCTCCCCCTTTCTCCTCCCCACCTCTCCCCCTTTTACCCCCTTCAACCGTCTCAGCTGTGAACAAGGACGAGCTTCTGCAGATGGTGCGCTTTGGAGCGGAAAAAGTCTTCATGTCTTTCAACACGACCATCACCGACGCTGACTTGTGAACCTCCCTCCCTGCTTCTCCCCTCCCCACCTTTCCCCCTTTTCCCTCACAGCTGTGAACAAGGACGAGCTTCTGCAGATGGTGCGGTTTGGAGCAGAAAAAGTTTTTACTTCTGCCAACACGACCATCACTGACGCTGACGTGGACAGGATCATCGCCAAGGGGGAGGAGGCGACCGCTGAGCTGGACGCCAAGATGAGAAAGTTCACGGAAGATGCGATAAAGTTCAAGATGGACGACACGGCGCTGTACAGCCTGGGCGAGGGGGAGAAGGAGGAGGAGAGGCCTGACCTCAAGAAGCTGGTCACTGAGAACTGGGTCGAGCCGTCAAGGAGAGAGCGCAAGAAGAAGTGAGTTTAGTTCTCTGTGTACCCTTCTGGCTTGTATTGTCGGTGCATGTGTGGGGAGAAGGAGGAGGAGAGGCCTGACCTCAAGAAGCTGGTCACTGAGAACTGGGTCGAGCCGTCACGGAGAGAGCGTTTAGTGCTCCCAGCAAAAAGTGCTATCCCCAGGCCATGCGGCTTGGCAAATCCTCACCACCCCTCGCTCCCCCATTTCCCCCCTTTCCCCCCCGTTTCCCCCCCCCCTCTTCCCGCACTCTTCCCCTCTCTGCCGTCACAGCTATTCAGAAGCGGAGTATTACCGCCAGGCCATGCGCATGGGCCCTCCCTCTCAGCCCAAGTCCAAGGAGGCTCGCCTGCCGAAGATGCCCGTGCTGTGAGTCAATGAGTGGGCGGAGAGATATGGGAGGAGTGGGGGAAGAGGGGAAGCGCGGGGGGGAGAAGGGGAGAGCGGGGAGTGGGGAATGGGTAAAGGGGAATGGGGGCTCGCCTGCCAAAATTGCTCGTGATTTGAGTCAGAAGGGGGCGGGGAAAAGGGGGGAGGAATTGGGAGGAGGGGGAAAGGAAGGGGGCACATTGGGAAAGAAGGGGGGAGAATGGGTTAAGGGGATGGAGGCCCGAGCCGATTGCTAAAATGGTCATGCCTTGCTTTTTGTCCTCCTTCCACCCGTTCCAGCACCCCCTTCCACCTCTCCTTTCCACAACCCCCTTTTACCAACCCCTTCCAGCTCCTTTTACCACCCGTTCTCCCACCTGTCCCACCACCCCCTTCCACCACCCTTCCCACCATCTCCACTGCACCCCTACCATCCCCTCTCTGGCACGGCTTCCAGTTCTTCAACACGGCTCGCCTCTCAGAGCTGTAATGAGTCGACTCGCAAGTCACTTCCCACCACCTCTGACACCACAATCCCACCCATTTCCCACCCCCGTCCACCGCCCCACCCCTGCCACCCACCCCTGCCACCCACCCCCTCCCAGGCACGACTTCCAGTTCTTCAACACGGCTCGTCTCTCAGAGCTCTTTGACAAGGAGGCCAAGGCCAAGCTGGTCAGTCAATGGGTGACTTGAGCGTCATCGTAGGGAGTTGTGGTTATAGCAGATGTCCCAGATAGGGGGTTTGTGACTGGTGTGCCTCTCAGAGCTCTTCGACAAGAAGGCCAAGGCCAAGCTGGTCAGTGCTGCTGCCGCTGCCGCTGCCACTGCCGCCGCCGGCGCCGCTGCTGCTGATGCTATTATAGGCGTGTTGTGATTGCAGATTTCCCCTCATGCACTCGTTCCCATCTCGTTCCTCCATCTTCCTGTGCATGACAGCAAGCGCTGGAGCGGCAGGCAGCAAGGAAGGAGGCAAAGGAAGGGGGCGAACCGTTTGAGGAGGATGGTGAGTGGGTGCAGATGGATGGAGAGGGATGGAAACGGATGTAGAGTGAGGGAGGGACAGAGATGGAGATTGGGGGATAATGAGTACCAAGTCCCTGTATCTCTTATTGTTCTGTAGTAGCCTTACAACGAGGTGTCTTACAACGAGAATGATGAGATGAGCTTCTCTGTGCGCCTGTGTGTCTGTATGGTCTGATTGCGACCATGCCCATGTCCATGCCCATGCCCATGCCCATGCCCATGCCCATGTCCATGCCCATGCCCATGCCCATGCCCATGCCCATGCCCATGTCCATGCCCATGCCCATGCCCATGCCCATGCCCATGTCCATGCCCATGCCCATGTCCATGCCCATGCCCATGCCCATGCCCATGCCCATGCCCATGCCCATGCCCATGCCCATGCCCATGCCCATGCCCATGCCCATGTCCATGCCCATGCCCATGCCCATGCCCATGCCCATGTCCATGCCCATGCCCATGCCCATGCCCATGTCCCCCTTCCCTTGTAACGATTTGATTTTTGAGTCGACTCAAAAGTCACCTCTGTGTGTCTGTATGGTCTGATTGCGCCTATGCCCATGCCCATGTCCATGACCCCCTTCCCTTGTAGTAGACGAGCAGCCAATTCTGATGCTAACGGACGAGGAGCAAGAGGAGAAACTCACCCTTCTCAATCAGGTCAGCAAGAGGAGAGACTGACCCTGATTAACTCGTAATAACTCCGACCAGTTTTTGTGTTTGAAATTGAAAAGCAACAAGATTGTGATCGTTCTAGCATCTTTTGATCTAAAAATGCCTCCCCCTTGCACTGTCTCTCCTCTTCTCTCCCTATTTCTCCTCCTTCAGGGCTTCAAGTAGTGGACTCGCAAGGATTTCAACCAGTTCCTGCGGCTGTGTGAGAAGTACAGATATCGAGAATAACAGCTGAGGGAGACGTGGTAGAAAAGCAGCAAAATGGGTCTTTCTCCCTCTCCAATCCCCCCTCTTCCTCCAGGGCTTTAAGTCGTGGACACGCAAGGATTTCAACCAGTTTCTGCGGCTGTGTGAGAAGTACGGGCGGGCGGACGTGGCGAGCATTGCAGCCGAGATGGAGGGGAAGACGGAGGCTGAGGTTCGGGAGTATGCTGCGGTGTTCTGGGAGCGATGCACCGAGCTGAACGGTGAGATGCGCTTGTGGAAAGTCGAGTGATGTGCATAGAATGAAATGGTGAGAAATGGTTGTGAAGACGTGGAGGGGAAGACGGAGGCTGAGGTTCGGGAGTATGCTGCAGTGTTCTGGGAGCGATGCACCGAGATGAATGGTGAGATGCGCTTGTGGAAAGTCGAGTGATGTGCATAGAATGAAATGGTGAGAAATGGTTGTGAAGACGTGGAGGGGAAGACGGAGGCTGAGGTTCGGGAGTATGCTGCGGTGTTCTGGGAGCGATGCACCGAGCTGAACGGTGAGATGCGCTTGTGGAAAGTCGAGTGATGTGCATAGAATGAAATGGTGAGAAATGGTTGTGAAGACGTGGAGGGGAAGACGGAGGCTGAGGTTCGGGAGTATGCTGCAGTGTTCTGGGAGCGATGCACCGAGATGAATGGTGAGATGCGCTTGTGGAAAGTCGAGTGATGTGCATAGAATGAAATGGTGAGAAATGGTTGTGAAGACGTGGAGGGGAAGACGGAGGCTGAGGTTCGGGAGTATGCTGCGGTGTTCTGGGAGCGATGCACCGAGCTGAACGGTGAGATGCGCTTGTGGAAAGTCGAGTGATGTGCATAGAATGAAATGGTGAGAAATGGTTGTGAAGACGTGGAGGGGAAGACGGAGGCTGAGGTTCGGGAGTATGCTGCAGTGTTCTGGGAGCGATGCACCGAGATGAATGGTGAGATGCGCTTGTGGAAAGTCGAGTGATGTGCATAGAATGAAATGGTGAGAAATGGTTGTGAAGACGTGGAGGGGAAGACGGAGGCTGAGGTTCGGGAGTATGCTGCGGTGTTCTGGGAGCGATGCACCGAGATGAATGGTTAGATGCGCTTGTGGAAAGTCGAGTGATGTGCATAGAATGAAATGGTGAGAAATGGTTGTGAAGACGTGGAGGGAAAGACAGAGGCCGAGGTTCGGGAGTCTGCTGCAGTGTTCTGGGAGCGATGCACCGAACTGAATGGTGAGATGCGCTTGTGGAAAGTCGGGTGATGTACATGAATGAAATGGTGAGAAATGGTTGTGAATACATGGAAGGGAAGACAAGAGATTCTGCGCACCATAGAGAATGGGGCTACTGTATTACCTGGCCTCTGCATTTTCCTCGTTTTCGGCATTTCCTGTATGTTCTGCGTTTCCACCCTGCTTTTCAGATTGGGACAAGATTCTACGCAACATAGAGAAGGGCGAGGCGCGCATCGTGCGGCGGGAGGAGATCATGCAGTCAGTGCGACGCAAGATGGAGCGGTACAGCAACCCCTGGGTGGAGCTGCCACAGACTATGGGACAAGATTCTACACACCATAGAGAAGGGGGAAGCTGCCGTCCAACCTGAGCTGTCTGCCCTTTCTACTTTTTCCCCGTTTTCCCCATCCCCTCCCTCTCTCCTCCCCTCCCCCCCCCCCCCCCCAACCCCCTGCCGTTCCCCGTTCTGCATTTTCTGATTCGCTTCAGATTGGGACAAGATTCTGCGCAACATAGAGAAGGGCGAGGCGCGCATCGTGCGGCGGGAGGAGATCATGCAGTCGGTGCGGCGCAAGATGGAGCGGTACAGCAACCCCTGGGTGGAGCTGCGGATCCAGTACGGCACCAACAAGGGCAAATACTACACCGAGGAGAGCGACCGCTTCATGGTGGGTGCTGAGGGGTGTGGTGCGGTGTGGATGTATGGTATTATGGGGCATGCATGCAGCTGCGCATCCAGTACGGCACCAACAAGGGCAAATACTACACGGAGGAGAGCGACGGTTTCATAGTGGGTGCTGAGGGGTGCGGTGCAGTGTGGATGCTTGGTGTGTGGTCTAGTGAAGCTCATGGTGTGAATGGGGGGGTGCATCGTGCATGTAGCTGCGGATTCAGTACCGCACCAACAAGGGCAAGTACTACACGGAGGAGAGCGACCGCTTCATGATGCGTGTGAAAGGGGAGGTGTGGTTTGGTGCGTTGCATAGCTCCGTCTTCCATTGCACCCTGGTGCCTTTGCATTGCTCCCACTGCTACTTTCTTACTCTTGCACATCGTTCCCCTCTCACTTGAATCTTTTCTCTGATGTTTCTCTCGTGACTCCAAGCTGAGTTTCGCTCTTACAAATCTTCCATCTCCCTTCTCTTTCTTCTACTTTGTGTCCGTCAGATCTGCATGATCCAACGGCTGGGATACGGCAACTGGGATGAGCTCCGGGCGGCGGTGCGCCAATCCCACCTGTTCAAATTCGATTGGTTCCTGAAATCAAGGCAGCCGCCTGAGCTGGCGCGGCGGTGCGACACGCTCATCCGGTTGGTGGAGAAGGAGAATCAGGAGCTGGAGGAGAAGGAGCGGCAGGCAAAGCGGGACAAGAAGAACAGCGCCAAGGTAAGGTGGCGGTTCTCTGTAAAATTGCTTTCACGTCAGGCGTCTCGAAGGGGTACAAGCTGAGCAATGCCAAGGTAAAGCCGCGGTTGTCTTTCTCCCACTGGTCTCAAAGCATCAGCTTCTGTTCATCACTCATGCTGCTTTTGTTTTTGTTTTTGTTTTTTCTGCTACTTCTTCCCTGATTTAACCACAGGCATCTGGAACAAGCAGAGGAGGCCAGGCAACAGCAGCAGCGGAAACTGTTGGCAGTGGAAGCAGGAAAAGAAAACAGTCAACTCTTGAGGCCTTTGTGGTAAGATCCGTTGTGTGACTCCTCTCGTTGCCACCACATGTTGTTCCTCTTTCTCCGTTCCCTCGCACCCGTGCATGCGCGTTTCCTTGGTGTGATTCCGATCGGTTATTGATTATCTTGTTGCGGTAGGTTCATCCTATGCTTTGTGTGGGCTGCCAATCTTGCAGAAAAAAAGGTAGCACGGCTGAAGCTGGATGGAGTGTGGCTGGCTGGTGGATTGTCAGGCGGCCTTGTCACAAATGTGCCTCTCACAGTGCGGCTGTGGTGGTACGGTACATTGAGTTGCATTACATTGGGGCACATACATCCTCTCCCAATGTTAGATTCAATTTGGAATGAAGTACATGCTGTGAAGCTGTACAAGCAATTAGCCCACTAGCACTGAATCGGTTTCTGGAGCACACAAACACTGTACAAAACTCGTGCATTCGCCGTGGTATTGACAAAAACAAAATACTCGTTGAAAGCGCAATCCACAATCGTGACCAGCAGTGAGCTGGCAGCCTGGTAGTACCAGTAATCAGCCCTGACAAGCCCATCCCCCATCCGCCAGCACCGCCAGCACCACTGAAGTATAAATTCAGATAAGGTCCTCCTAAAGATCAAGCTCCCCATGAGGACTGTTGAGCATCTCATTCCAACAGGCAAGTGGGGGTGATGACAGGGTGAGGAGGGGAACGGGGGAGTGGGTGGGCAGCTGAAATATTCACCTTACAAGAGAGAGCAATTATAGAGGTGCGAGAGGAAAGAGGAGGGAGAAAGAGGAACGGGGAGGGGGGGAGGGGGAGAGGGGGGAGATGTGTGTTGGGCAAAGGAGGAACCAAATGCAAAAACGAAGGAAAGGTGTAGAACAGAGAAACAGCGCAATAGTGTGGGGTAGGTGCAGAGGCAGAGGTAGGTGCATAGGTTGAGGGAGTGTGGGGAAAATCCCTAGCCAGGCTGCCACGAGGTGACTTTTGAGTCGACTCAAAAGTAGAACAGAGAAACAGTACATAGTGTGGGGAAAATCCCTAGCCAGGCTGCCACGACTCAGGCAGCCCGGCGGCTAAGACGCCCCTTCCAGTCAAAAGTCGAAAAGACACGACGACCAACAGGGAATTGCTGTGCGCCAATCGCATCGCAGGGATGCGCCACGTATTTGACACGCCACGCCAAATGGCATGCCATACCTTGTCTCGTGGAATACCACGCTGCCCACGTGCCTGGATGGGCTGGCGCTCGGCCTTTGGCGCTTTGAGACATATGTTTGTCAACCCAGAATTGACCGGGTTGACCGTGAAATGAAACAATGAGAAGCAGGGGAAAAAAAAAAAAAAAAAAAAACAGAACAGAACAGAACAGAACAAAACAACGAAACAGCACAAGTATAACTGTTAAGCCCTCCACCCCCTCCTCCAATCCATATCTTCCCTTTCCATTCCCTCCAGCCCCATTCTGCACTGCACCGCATCCCTCCCTCATCCTCACAAACCCTTTTCTCCCATCCCACAAACCCCGCCAACCCCATCCCATAATTCTCACCTCGATCAAGTTAATCAGGCAACGCAGTACCCCGCTCCAAATTATTCTTAATCTCCACCGTGTATTTCCCAAACGCGCGCTCAATCTTCCGGTTGAAGTGCTCGTTCCGATCATTAATACTATCAATATCCTTCTCATCATGATGCCGCCGTCTCCTGCTGAACTCCTTGCGGCTCTTGGCTCTATCTGTCAGCTCAGCCACCATTCTGTCAACGTTCTCCTCGGGAATCTCCGGAGCTTGCCCGTACTGGAGGCTCGCGTCATCGCGGTAAAAGTCAGGGTCTTTTTCCTTGGCTTTAAGGTAGTCCAATTCTGTGTACGGGATGTTGCCTGTGCGCTTCTTGTATGCGTTGTACAGTGCCTGCTGATTGAACGCTGGGAGGCGGGTGGTGGGGAGAAGCCAGGAGAGCAAAAAAGAGAGGGGAGGGGGGGGGAGGAGATGGGAAGAAGGGTAAGGTATTGAAATGAGAAGACGTTCCCCTTTTCTGCTTCCCACCATCCAACCTGTCCCCCACAATCCTTTTCACCCTTCCCCCATTCGCACCTTCCCGCTATCCCCCGTCCCCGCCCCCGCCACCGTCCATAACACGCACCATCCCAGCCAAAAGGAGCCGGTTTCTTCTCCCACTTCTTGTACTTGCTCTCCGCCGCCTCCTGCGTCTCAAGCATGTACGCCTTGGTGATATCCAGTCCCGCGGCGTCCAGCTGCTTGCTCATCTTGCGCGTCTTCTCCTCGAACCACGCCGCCTTGCTCACCCCGCGCGACTCCTCCTCCGCGGGCTTCTCCTCCTGCCGCTTCTCCGCCACCACCGCCGTCTGATTCGCCTTCCGCGCCTGGTTCTGCGGCGGCGGGGGAACGGGGGAAGGGGGACCGGAGGCCGAAGGGCCCGGGGGGGGGGGGGAGGGGAGGGGGGGGGGGGGGGAGGGGAGGGGGGGGGGGGGGGGGGGGGGGGGGGGTGGAGGGGGGTACAGGGGAAAGGGAAGGAGAGGGTTGAGGGAGGCAAGGAAGGGGAGGTGAACGCGTGAAGGGGAAACGCCTTGGTGATATCCAGCCCGGCGGCGTCCAGCTGCTTGCTCATCTTGCGCGTCTTCTCCTCGAACCACGCCGCCTTGCTCACCCCGCGCGACTCCTCCTCCGCGGGTTTCTCCTCCTGCCGCTTCTCCGCCACCACCACCGTCTGATTCGCCTTCCGCGCCTGGTTCTGCAGTAGAGGGGGAACGGGGGAAGGGGGACCGGAGGCCGAAGGGCCCGGGGGGGGGGGGGAGGGGAGGGGGGGGGGGGGGGGGAGGGGGGGGGGGGGGTGGGGGGTAGGGGTGGAGGGGGGTACAGGGGAAAGGGAAGGAGAGGGTTGAGGGAGGCAAGGAAGGGGAGGTGAACGCGTGAAGGGGAAACGAATTGGTGATATCCAGCCCGGCGGCGTCCAGCTGCTTGCTCATCTTGCGCGTCTTCTCCTCGAACCACGCCGCCTTGCTCACCCCGCGCGACTCCTCCTCCTCGGGCTTCTCCTCCCGCCGCTTCTCCGCCACCACCGCCGTCTGGTTCGCCTTCCGCGCCTGGTTCTGCGGAGGACGAAGGGAGAACGGAGCGTCGGGCGGAACGGGGGAGGGGTGGGGGAGAGAGGGAGGGGAAGGGGGGAAGAGGGATCGGAGGCCCGAGGGGGCGGGAGGGAGGGTGCAGGGGAAAGGGAAGGAGAGGGGTGGGGGAGGCAAGGGAGGGGAGGTTAACACATGAAGGGGAAACGGAGCGGAGGACGGAGCAGGACGAAGGGCGAAACCGGAGCGGGGGAGGGGGGAAGGAGTGGGAAGAAGAGGACGGGTGGGGAGAAAGCAGGGAAGGCGAGGGGGAGAAATATAAAGGCTTGGAGATAAAAAAAGGCGAGGTTAACACATGAAGGCGGAACGCTTCCCAATGAACCCGGCCCAGCTTGAGAGAACGAACCAGCTTAAGGCGTATCTTAAAAAGGCTTCTTTTGCCAGAAATTTAAAGGCGCCTCAAAGCATACGAACCAGCTTAAGGCGAATCTCGAAAAGCTTCTTTTGCCGCGCGTCCATGCCTTCATAGGTCGGCACATCCACCACGTCAGCTGCCGCCTGTCGGTCATCCTCAGCCGTCCGATCTGGCGAATCTCGACGCTGAGCTTGTCGGCCTCGGGATTGCCGAGTGCTCTGCGCTGCGACCACGGATAGGTCCTCCTCTCCCGGTCCAACCGCCGCTTTCCGTCCGTCTATGACAACCTCGTCGTACTTCCGTTTAACTTTTTCTTGTCTGCCGAAGGAGGTAGGAAGCTGCGACGGTGCTGAGTGACAACAAACAGAAATTCGCAGAATCGCAAAAAAAAACAGTCACAAATTGAATACGCATGAACGGCTTCTGGGACGTCTTAGACTTTGTCTTGTCTGCCGAAGGAGGTAGGGAGCTGCGACGGTGCTTAGTGATGAACACAAAATCACAGAAAAACGATAGGAAACCAAGCACGCATCAACAATACCAATCAAAATTTTAGCTCGCGGCAAAAATCCAACAAAATATTATGAAATCAACAAACAACGAACAAAAAACATCAGCAAGCATTTTAAGACTAGCGGCACACTAAACAACGACTCGTACCCTCGCCTTTCGCAGGTGCTGTGGCTCCAGGCCGGCCTTTCCGCTCGGCGATTTTTCGAAAGCAGTAGTCCGTGCACTCGTGGTAGGGGTTGCTCGCGTTTATGCAATCCGGATGCACATGCTGCACCATCGTAGACGACTAACAGGCAGAGCCCGCGGAGAATCGCATGAAAGCTGGAGAGAAACTTGAACCTGCGTCAAGAGTTCCAATCGAACACGGAAACTGAAGGAATACTATGGAGAGCGTTACGACGGCGAGAGAGTTTCTGCTTGTGAGAATGGTGTTGCGCGAGGAATTCGGTAGCGTTTCGGTAGAGCTTGTCTCAAATGGCTAAGTGAGAACTTGAGTAGAGATTGTAATATTATTATGAATACAAAAGCAAACACACAAGATAGATATAGGCTACGGGGAAGTTGCACAAAGTTGCCGTGGCGCTGCGCAGTAACCCAACCCCACGAAACTGTCGTGTGGATGGGTGAACCGCGCCTCGGCCAATCCCAACCTGACTCAGCAGCGGGATGTTCCTTCTTACACGCCACCCCAACCAACCAACTCCAACTCGGCAACACCACCAATGACTCCCACAGACTTGTACTGCCCTGCACAAACTCCAACGACAAGTTCAGCAGTCACGCTTTGTCAATACGCGACCATCACCAATATTCCCATGTCGGTGGCGAAGGGCGTCAGTCTAGGTCGTCAATCTAGCAATCTGCCAAGTCGTCGAGGGCCCTTGCTGTCGTAGGGCCCTCTAACAGAAACCTTCAAAGGACTAAGGAGTTTCAGGGATAGAGAATCTGGGATACAAGATGCTTGAAGAAAGATTCAGGAGTTTCAACGACCCCCGCGCAGTGCTAGTCTGAGCAAAGAAAGGAGAGACACAGAAAGATTCCAACACGAAGGAGGTGAACCTCGTGGAAGCCTTTTAGCATCACACCGTAACGTATCAGAACGCATCGCACCGTTTACTAAAAATCGTGAGTACACGCTGCGATGGTTTGGAAAGGAGTGTTGGGGGGTTGGTTTGGCAGAACTGATTTGTGTGGAGGAGAAAGAACGGGGTTGGATTGGATTGGTTGATTTGAACAGACGAGACCTCGATTGTAGCGGGTCGCGGTTGCAAACTTTCATGATCAGCAATAGTAATAACTTCTAGGTTGCGTCAGCATTCCATCTACACCCAAAATTAGGGCCAGAAACGGTTTATCTTTATCTGTTATCATAGAAGTCCAACAAATGAATATATTGTTAAGATGCGGCTAAAATGGTGATATATGCATACTTCCCCGTCGTAATCTTTACACCGGCACCACGTTACTTGCGTGTTGGCAATGTCTGCTGTGTCGCCGACAGCTGCTGAAGCATCTGCGGATTCGGCTGGTAGTGCTTCACACCCGGTTGCACCCCATACTGCTGCTGCTGCTGTCCTGCCACCTGTCCACCAACAACTGGCTGCTGCTGCTGCTGATACTGGCCCATGCCTTGCATCGGCACTTGTGGTTGCGGTTGTGACTGTATCGAAGCCTGCACTTGCCCCTGTGCAAAACCCTGGCTGGATTGTTGGCTCATTTGCATGCTCATTTGCTGGCCTCCTACTTGACCCAATGGCCCCACAGCAGTCTGGGTTTGCACGGTCTGAGGCAGTCTTTGGGAGGGTAATGGGGCTTGAGGGGCTTGTCGTTGAGGTGCTGGTTGTGCCACCCCACTGCCTTGCTGCTGCACCTGCCCCTGCACCTTCAACCCTTGCATCTGCTGCTGCACCTGCTGCACCTGCTGCCCTTGAATCTGCTGTTGCGGGTACCCTTGCTGCTGCTGCTGCTGCTGCTGCAGCGGAAACTGCCCTTGCTGCCCCTGCTGCTGTTGCTGCTGCGGCTGCTGCTGCTGCCCCTGCTGCCCTTGCTGCTGCACCGTCCCCTGCTGGCCCTGCCCTGCCTTCACCCCTCGGCGAATAGGCGGTTGAGCCAGAACCACGTTTCGCCCTCTCGACAGCCCTGCAGTCGGCATCTGCAGCACCGTCCCAGCCACCGGCACTTGCGGTGCTGCCCTCTGCGGCTCACCCTGCCCTGCCACACCCGCTCCTGCTACCTGACCTTGCTGCCCCTGCCCCTGCCCCTGCACCTGCACCTGCGCCTGCCCCTGCCCCTGCCCCTGCGCCTGCCCCTGCTGGGATGGTTGTCTCTGCTGCACTTGTGCATTTTGAGTCCCAGCTACCCTTCCCTGCTGCTGCTGCTGCTGCTGCTGCTGCTGCTGCGCCCCTTGCCCTGTCCGCTGCCCAGCTCCCGCCCCTGCCCTCGCCACTTGCAATCCCTGCCCAGCCCCCTGGTTCGGGTGCAGCTGCGGCGGCAACCGAGGCTGCTGCGGAGGCTGGGCAGGCAGGGGCGGCAGCAGCTGCTTCAGGTCCGTCCACTTGGGATCCCCGACCAGAAGCTGACAAAACGGGTGCTCCAGCAACTCGGCCGCACTCTTCCTCTTTTTCGGCTCCTTCTGCAGACAGCATCGGATAAAATCCCGGAATTCCGGCGAGCAGCTGCCCGGAGCCTCGGGCGGCTCGTTGAAAACAATCGCGCCGAAAAGCGTCATCCAATCAGCCGACTGCCCGGCCTGCACGTACGGGAACCGGCCAATCACGAGCTCCAGGAGCGAGAGGCCCATGGACCAGACGTCTGAGAGGTAGCCGTCGTAGCCCTCGCCTGGCGGTGGATTGATGCGCTCCGGAGAGAGGTAGGCGGAGGTGCCCACATAGGAGTTGCACTGCGCGAGGGTAGATGCCAACTCCTTGCTCACCCCAAAATCAGCAATCTTCACCTGTGGGGGACCGGGAAGCCAGGGGGGGAGCAGGGTTGGGGGAGGGAGGAAGGGGAGGCGGGAGGAGAAAGAGTCAACCACGAGCTCCAGGAGGAGAGGAGGGATAGGGGTGAGGAGAGCTCGAGGGGAGGTGGAGGAGCGAGAGGCCCATGGACCAGACGTCTGAGAGGTAGCCGTCGTAGCCCTCGCCTGGCGGTGGGTTGATGCGCTCGGGAGAGAGGTAGGCGGAGGTGCCCACGTACGAGTTGCACTGGGCTAAGGTGGACGCTAGCTCCTTGCTCACCCCAAAATCAGCTATCTTCACCTGTGAGTAGAATAGGGGGGAGACGTGAACAGACGTCAGGGTGAGGGTTGATGCGCTCGGGGGAGAGGTAGGCGGAGGTGCCCACGTAGATGCTAACTCCTTGCTCACCCCGAAATCAGCAATTTTCACCTGCGAGAGGGGGGAGAAGGTAAGAGAGAGGGGAACTTGCTACTGGCTAACTCATCTGGTCACTTACACACTGCTTGGCTTGTATTGACTTGCACAGCTGACTGGGCAGTTGACTTGCAACGACTTGCATTGACTGCCGTTGACCGGCGTTGACTGGGAAGACAGACTGACCTGGCCTGACGGTTGACCTGCGTTGACCTGCATTGACTGGCGTTGACTGGCGGAGCTGACTGACCTGGCCCTGGCGGTTGAAGAGCAGGTTGGAGGGCTTGATGTCTTGATGCACCACATGCTGCCGGTGCAGGTACAGCAGCCCCTGCAGGCACTGTTTGACTGGCGTTGACCTGCGTTGACTGGCGTTGACTGGCGTTGACCTGCGTTGACTGACTGACCTGGCCCTGGCGGTTGAAGAGCAGGTTGGAGGGCTTGATGTCGCGATGCACCACGTGCTGCCGGTGCAGGTACAGCAGCCCCTGCAGACACTGCCGCGCCACCTCCGGCATGAATGACTCGGGAATTTTACCCTGCTCTCACACAGAACACGAGGAGAACGTAAAAGTGGGTTGATTGTGAGTATTCTCAAAAGCAGGTACAGTACAGCAGCCCCTGTAAGCACTGCCGAGCCACCTCCGGCATGAATGACTCGGGAATCTTACCCTGTTCTCAAGCAGAAACAGGGGAATCGAAAGAAAGAAAAAAAAAAAAAATCGGGAAGTCACGAGGAAAATGGAACACACTTGCGATTCGGTACGATGAACACACTTTTCTTTTGAATACTTGTACAGGATACCTGTATCCACCTACGTGCAATTTCCACCTTTGGGACATAGTAGCAAATGTAACACGTGCACCACACCACATGCACATTGTTTTGCACGCTACTGAAGTTACCAGGACATTTTGCTTCTCATACATAATACGGCTAACCTAATTTTAGTGGAGATGCTGAATCTTGGCAGAAATGACTTTTTCCATGATTAATTTGGAGTCTGATTAAATCTCATCTCATATTCTTCCTTTCAGAATTGCCTGCGTTTGACTCACCCTCTTCTTAGTCACATCCGCCAGAGTGCCACCATCCATGAGCTCCAAGACGAATGAGATTTCCCCGAGGTGGTCAAAGATGCCGTAACACTCCACCACCTGGGGAGATTGGGGGAGGGGAGGGGAGGAGGAAGGGACACAGGGCAATGGCGTTATTGGAAAGGCCTTTCACAAACAGAAAAAAGACGAAGATCCCCCCCCCCCCCCCCCCGGGTGGTCAAAGATGCCGTAACGCTCCACCACTTGGGATTGTTCCCACGTTGAAATTGTGAGTCCTTTGCATTCTGGAATTTCAATGTGAAACACACATTCAAGCTCGTGATGAAACGGGACAAGGGGACCATTTTCCCCCTCCTCCTATCCCCTCCCTCCGCATGCCACACTCACATGGTCAGATCGTGCGCGCCGTAGGATCTGCATCTCCTGAATGATCTGCTTCCGCACCTCCTCGTCGTACTTCTCCTGAATCACCTTCAGCGCGTACTCCTGCCGCCCACCACAGTCGGCAAATCCAAGAAAAAAAAATCAAACGCAATCGACGATACGTGTTTTAGCTGTTATTTTAGGTCGAGTTCAATGGTTCGCAATAAGATCCATTCAATGTTTTAGCCTCAGACGTCAGTGAAACGGGAAACGAACCAGAGAAACAGAAACGCGGCTTGAACTTCTTATGCACCACCAACCGACCAGAAAACAAAATATTCACCTTGCCCGTTTTCTTATGCCGAACGCGATACACGCGACCTCCGCTTCCAAACCCTAACGGCGGCAAAATCCGCTCCAGATCTTCTAAAGCCACATCTTCCCGCGGCGTGAACACCATCATCGGCGCTTTCACCGCGTTACCCGCTCCCGCGACGCCTACTAACGCGCCTCCCCCAGCAACACCAGAACCAGCTCCCGACGCAGCGCCGCCGGCCCCGCCGCCTGGTCCGCCGTTGATCGCGGCGACGGGGACGGGCTGAACGCTGGTGGGTGCGCCTTTCGCGGCGGCTGCTGCTGCGGCGGCTGCGCCGGCTGGAGGCATGGGGAGGGCTTGAGGAACGGGGAGAGGCAGAGGCTGGGGTCGAGCCGCGTTGGCGGTCCGAGCCGGCACGCCGATTCGCAGGCCGAGTCCTCGGCCTCTTCCTCCTCGTGAGGCCATTAGTGGTCGAGATTAAGATTGACGGAACGGATTAGATAGAGTTATTGGATCGTTTATGTGTTCAGTGGAGCGGTGCTCTCTGGACCGGTGCACGACGGTGGAGCGCTGTTCTGTGGTGTGGTGTCCAATATCGGATGTGGCTAGTGTTATGAGAAGGCTAGCTGACGTTGCAGAATAATAATTTACTGACTCGTCTAATAAGATAGACTATTGAATGAGTCAGCGCAACGCGACGGCCCGTGGGGGAAGAGGAATGCAGTCGTTAGCTTCTGGCGGGAAAGAGCAAGGCAGAATCCATCCGTGCTTCACGAGACTTATGGGCCAAGATAGAAAGTGGGATTTAGAAGTTCAAAACCGGATATTATTCGCCAGCTAGGATTGGAGGCGAGATGATGGGAGGTCGGAATCTAGGCGAACACTGAGCTGCAGAAACCTCTTCGGAAAATAGTACAGCCAACAGCAGCAACTGGGAGCGACATGCACAAACGCGGCGCACGATGTGAGCGACGGAGTGCACGATGGATTACGTAACTGTGTCTTTAGAAGGCCACAATTCATAGGCTTCTTGCCATTCCGTTCCTTCCGCTCTGAGCTACAAATCTAGGAGGCAGGTGATCAGGCCTAGTGGTGTGGCGTGGCGGTGATGGAATCAAAAGCCTCCCGAGCTGTTGGCTTGATGGGATGGAAATAGCAATGAAGGTTGGGTTCATGTTCTTGTAGCTGCCCGTTATTTTGGTACTAATCGAGAAGCCGGCACTTAGTCTCTGAAACTGCTACCTCCGTGTTTTCTCTTCTTCCTTTCTGTGAAGGTACAACCGTGGCGAGGGCAAAACAAGGTGAGAGAATTGAATTTAAATTGAAAGAATCATTATCCGACTTCACTTCGGAGATGTGCGATTGGGCAAATGGTCCACTGGCACCGCACGGTTCAGTGGCCAGGTACAGTAAACTGTATTTCTTTCCATCCCTGCCCCGAAAACCTTCGCGTCGCGCCAACCTCAAGCCCGCAAGCCACCAGGATGGCGCAGAACCCAGGCTGACAGACTGGAGGGAATCTGAAAGGGCAGGCGAATAGAACTGGCAAATCAGTTCCGCAACCGAACCGAAGGCATCCTGGTGGCGGGCGTTTTTCCCCACCCTTGCAATTCTTGGAACGAACATGCGGGTGGATCACCTTGTCGTTTTGTGTGAAGCTGGAGAGTGGGATCAGCCAATACTCTTTACAAGCTGCGCTCTTAAGCAGGACGCCTGGCTGTGGAGTGATAAACTGTTCGTATCAAATGCACAGGTAGAGTAAATGAAGTTCAAGGGCAACTTCATTCTGGATGAAATAGTTTAGTTCGCGTACAGGCATACTATTAGTGAGCACGGGACCCATTGAATTACTCGTGACCGAGGAAACCAGTATCAAGTCAATGAAGATGTGTTTTTCGCAGTGAAAAAATAGCCGAACTTCTGCCATTGCTCTCCGCTACTGTGCGTATGCAGTTCATTGTCGCTGTTTGTCCCGCGGCTTCTTAGAGAATGGAGCATTGCCTTTCTCCAGTGAGACCTTCCTCAGCTCCCGCTTTCCCGTCCTTGCCGTCAGCATCCCCGTCAACGCTCACGTCAACATTTCAGTCCACTGTAGCCCTCCAGCGATCCCTTCGTTCGTATCATCACCCTCGTGGTCGTGTCGTTAGTTCCCCCAGAATAGCAGCGACACGCGATGCATTCGACACGTGTATCCCCTCGCGTTTTGCTCATCAATCGGCTCAACGGCGAATCGCCGTCAAACTATCGAACGCGGTCCCTCACAATGCCAGCTCATGTCAACCAATCAGAAAGGTCTGCGCTGCTTCTGCGGCTGTAGCAGTAGTAGCATCTGCTACAGGCAGCAAAAACTCATCCACAGATGCTAGACCAGCCGCTGGAGCTTCTAGAAACGTCGTTGGAGCTGCAAGGGGAATCATTGGGAACTCCCAGAGAAGCGTCGGGGATGCAGGCAGCCAATGGAAAGACGAGATTCTAGAGACGTCTTTAAAGTTGCTCCGGACGAAGCCGGTCGACCAATGCGTGGATTTTGTCGTGAGAGAATGCGAGCGCGTGGCGGCTGATAATGCCACGTCATCAGTCAGCGAGCATGCCACGTCACCGCTCAGCGAGCTTGCCACGTCAGCCCACAGCCAGACGGCGTCAGATCCCCGCGCAGCGGCGCTGAGCGTCCTGTCTCAGTGCCTCAGGAAACTGCTTCAAACGAGTCAGCTTAAAACGGTGAATTCGCTGCTCCTCGCACTAGCGAATCATCAATCCGGGGATAGGCATGGAAAGAACTCAGGAGGTGGGGAAATTGGGGGGTTCATGGGGCGAGCGGTGAGGTGGGAGGAGGTGGTGGGGAGCGTCGCAGCACGGCGAGACGTGCGACTGGCAGTGCTGCACGCACTGAGGCGAAAGCGAGTAGAGGAAGCCGTTGATCTGCTCTGCTCCCTCGCAGGTAACACCTGGTTCTCTGGATTTGTGACGAACTAGCAGGTGGCTTTCCATGTGTTGGTCTCATAGAAGTTGAAAGAACCGGCTCGCAGGCAGCCTCCTGCCTTTCTATTTCCCTCTGCTTCGCTCTCCTTCTCTTTCCGTCTATGCAACAGCTCCCCTCTGTCCCAACCAGTGCTGGATTTCTGAGAATTCTCAAAAAGCACCCCTGCACCCCCCCTTGTGTGTGTGTGTGTGTGTGTGTGTGTGTGTGTGTGTGTGTGTGTGTGTGAACCCTAATCCCCGCTCGTCTGTCCTGGCCAGTGCTGGGATTATCGCCACGGAAGCTAGCAGTGAGCGACCAGGTGTACCAAGCATGCATTGCTGCCTCGAACCTGCCCCTCGTCATGAGGTGAGCTGGGTTTGTTCACACTCCAGGGTTCAGGGTCTAGGGTTCCGTACCTCAGCCAATAAAACTAGCAGTGAGCGACCAGGTGTACCTAGCATGCATTGCTGCCTCGAACCTGCCCCTCGTCATGCGGTGAGCTAGCATTGTTCGCCGTCCAGGGTTCAGGGTTTAGGGTTAGAGGGGTTTTCTGAGTATAGTTTGCAGTTTGCGGTTCACGAATTTCAGGGTTTTCCGCCCGTGGGCTTGGTGTTTCGCCAACCAGGGTTCTGCATTGCAGGGTTCAACCGTTTATTCACTCGTCCAGGGTTCCGGGCAGGCTATCCTCCACCCCCACATCCTCCCTCAGGGCCCCCCCCCACCCTACCCTCCACCTTCCCTTGTTGGTCCCTCCCCCCTTCCTATTGCAGCTTCATCGCCCATCTGCCATGTGCAAGCGCAGTGGATTACAACAAGGCCGTCAAGGAGTGTGCCAGGCAGGGCAAGCTACAACCAGCCCTAACTCTCTGTCTCTCCTTCCACGGTCCACCCACTCACTCTTCCTTTCCCCCCTCCCCTCCCCTCGCAGCTTCATCACTCACCTGCCTTGTGCAAGTGCAGTGGGTTACAACAAGGCCATCAAGGAGTGTGCGAGGCAGGGCAAGCTGCAAGTAGCCCTGACTCTCTTTCTCGTCCACGCACTCACTCTTCCTTTCCTCGTTGCCTCCGCTGTGCTGTTCCCAGCTTCATCCTGCACCTGCCTTCTGCTAGTGCAGTGGATTACAACAAGGCCATCAAGCAGTGTGCCAGGCAGGGCAAGCTACAAGGAGCATTGACTCTTTTATTCTCTTCCACACACTCCCTGCTCCATTCCCCTCTCTCTCCTGCTAGCAGCTTCATCGCCCACCTGCCGGGCGCAAGCTCGGTGGATTACAACAAGGCAATCAAGGAGTGTGCTCGGCAGCGCAAGCTGCAACTAGCATTGACTCTCTTCCACGCTCTCAGAAGCGGGTGCAGAGGAGGAGGGAGTGGGGGTGGTGATAGCAGCAGCAGCATCAGCAGCAGCAGCAGCAGCAGTGGCAGTGGCAGCATCAGTAGCAGGGAGCCAGTTGGAGGAGATCTGTTGCCTCCTCCTGGCGTTTCACCTGAAGTTCCACCTGAGTGGGGCGAGCTACCTGACATAGCACCTGGAGTGGCACCTGACATGTTCACGTACCGCTCGATGATGGACGTGTGTGCTGCATGCGGCGCCGGAAATATAGCCACTGAAATTATCCAGGTGAGCCATTCAGGCGAATCTCCAGGTGAGCCATTCAGGTGAATCTCCAGGTGAGCCATTCAGGTAAATCATCATCCAGATGTTGGGTGCTGCTTGCTCGCTGGTGCTCCTACACTCAGCTGCTCTGACATGCTCGCTCGTCACACGCCGTTCTCTGATGCACCTGCTCTCTCCCCTTCCGCCCTCCAGGCAATGGAGCAGGAGGACGGGGTGGTACCCAACACCTACGTGGTCAACAGTGCTCTCAACGCGTGCATCAGTGACTGGGATGACTGCTCGCTCCTTCTCTTTCCTCCGCCCCTACCCTCTTACCTCCAGGCTATGGTGGAGGAGGATGGGGTGGTACCCAACACCTACGTGGTCAACAGTGCTCTCAACGCGTGCATCAGTGACTGGGATGACTGCTCGCTCCTTCTCTTTCCTCCGCCCCTACCCTCTTACCTCCAGGCTATGGTGGAGGAGGATGGGGTGGTACCCAACACCTACGTGGTCAACAGTGCTCTCAACGCGTGCATCAGTGACTGGGATGACTGCTCGCTCCTTCTCTTTCCTCCGCCCCTACCCTCTTACCTCCAGGCTATGGTGGAGGAGGATGGGGTGGTACCCAACACCTACGTGGTCAACAGCGCTCTTAATGCATGCATCAGTGACTGGGATGCCACGTGGTCGCTCTGGTTCCGCATGGAGGTGAGTGAGCTGGCAATGCTGAGCTGGCAGTGCTGTGCTGAGCTAACAGTGATGATCTGGCAGTGGTGTCCAATGAGCTGGCGTTATCGTTCTACTCTCCCACCCTTGCCTTGCCTTTTTCTCTCTCCAATTTTCCATTCTGCAATACCCTTGTCTTGCCATCCCCCTTGCCCCATCTCTCCCAACCCAACCAGCGCCTGGGGGTCACACCAGACGCCACCACGTTCAACACGCTGCTCAAGGCCTGCGCTGCCCACAGCCGCCCAGACGCCGCCCAGCTGCTGTACGACCAGCTCAGGGCGCTGGAGGCGAGAGAAGCAAGGGAGGGAGACAACACCGAGGGGATTTCCAGCAGGGGAGGTCCCAACCACAGCAGCGAGCACAGCACCAGTGGTAGCAGCAATTCTTCCCGCAACAGCAAGCATATCAGCGACAGCAGCAGCAGCAGCAGCAGCCGGCGTCCCAGGTACCTAGACGTATACACATACAGCACAGTCATCCAGATCCTCGCCCAATCCGGCCGCTTCCAATCTTGATTCCATTCTTCCCTCATTCTTCCCCCTTTCCCATCCCAACCATTGGTACCACCAGGTACCTAGACGTATACACATACAGCACAGTCATCCAGATCCTCGCCCAGGCCGGCCGCTTCCAAGCCGCCTTCGCCGTCAAGTCCGACATGGACCAATCGGGGGTTCCCGCCAACGTGGTGACGTGGACGTCCCTGATTGGTACGTGCGCGCGCGCGGGGTTTGTGGACCATGCGTTCAGGGTTTTTGAGGAGATGGTGGGTTCGGGATGTGAGGCGACCACGGCGGTGTATAACCTGATGATTGACATGTGCGCCGAAGCTGGGCTGGAGGATCGGGCGGTGGGGTTGCTTCGGGAGATGCAGGCTGGGGGGAGGAGGAAGGGGGAGAAGGGGGAGAAGGGGGATGAGGGTGAGGGGGAGCAAGGAGTTTCAGTTGCTGCTGCATCGTCTCCCTCCTCCTCCCCCTCTTCCACCTCTTCCTCTTCCTCCTCCTCTTCTTCCTCCTCCGCCTGCGCCCCCGATATAATCACATTCAACACAGTCATCAAGGCTTGCACGGGCAGCCCGCAGCGAGCGCGGGCGTTTGTGGGGGAGATGCGAGCGGCGGGGATAGCACCCAACGAGCGCACGTGGGTGGCTCTGCTGGACTGCCACGGGACCAATGCGGATACTAATGCTGCCGTCCAGGTGAGTGTGCGAGCGGCGGGGATACATACAGCCGAATGATCGCTCGCACGTGGGTGGCTCTGCTGGACTGCCATGGGACCAACGCGGATACCGCCTCTGCTGTGCAGGTGGGTGTGTGCGGGGAGTGGGGAATGGACGGGGGCAGTCCCCAGCATGCACATCAAGGCATGCACGGGCAGTCCCCAGCATGCACATCAAGGCATGCACGGGCAGTCCCCAGCATGCACATCAAGGCATGCACGGGCAGTCCCCAGCATGCACATCAAGGCATGCACGGGCAGTCCCCAGCATGCACATCAAGGCATGCACGGGCAGTCCCCAGCATGCACATCAAGGCATGCACGGGCAGTCCCCAGCATGCACATCAAGGCATGCACGGGCAGTCCCCAGCATGCACATCAAGGCATGCACGGGCAGTCCCCAGCATGCACATCAAGGCATGCACGGGCAGTCCCCAGCATGCACATCAAGGCATGCACGGGCAGTCCCCAGCGTGCACATCAAGGCATGCACGGGCAGTCCCCAGCGTGCACATCAAGGCATGCACGGGCAGTCCCCAGCATGCACATCAAGGCATGCACGGGCAGTCCCCAGCATGCACATCAAGGCATGCACGGGCAGTCCCCAGCATGCACATCAAGGCATGCACGGGCAGTCCCCAGCATGCACATCAAGGCATGCACGGGCAGTCCCCAGCATGCACATCAAGGCATGCACGGGCAGTCCCCAGCATGCACATCAAGGCATGCACGGGCAGTCCCCAGCATGCACATCAAGGCATGCACGGGCAGTCCCCAGCATGCACATCAAGGCATGCACGGGCAGTCCCCAGCATGCACATCAAGGCATGCACGGGCAGTCCCCAGCATGCACATCAAGGCATGCACGGGCAGTCCCCAGCATGCACATCAAGGCATGCACGGGCAGTCCCCAGCATGCACATCAAGGCATGCACGGGCAGTCCCCAGCATGCACATCAAGGCATGCACGGGCAGTCCCCAGCATGCACATCAAGGCATGCACGGGCAGTCCCCAGCATGCACATCAAGGCATGCACGGGCAGTCCCCAGCATGCACATCAAGGCATGCACGGGCAGTCCCCAGCATGCACATCAAGGCATGCACGGGCAGTCCCCAGCATGCACATCAAGGCATGCACGGGCAGTCCCCAGCATGCACATCAAGGCATGCACGGGCAGTCCCCAGCATGCACATCAAGGCATGCACGGGCAGTCCCCAGCATGCACATCAAGGCATGCACGGGCAGTCCCCAGCATGCACATCAAGGCATGCACGGGCAGTCCCCAGCATGCACATCAAGGCATGCACGGGCAGTCCCCAGCATGCACATCAAGGCATGCACGGGCAGTCCCCAGCATGCACATCAAGGCATGCACGGGCAGTCCCCAGCATGCACATCAAGGCATGCACGGGCAGTCCCCAGCATGCACATCAAGGCATGCACGGGCAGTCCCCAGCATGCACATCAAGGCATGCACGGGCAGTCCCCAGCATGCACATCAAGGCATGCACGGGCAGTCCCCAGCATGCACATCAAGGCATGCACGGGCAGTCCCCAGCATGCACATCAAGGCATGCACGGGCAGTCCCCAGCATGCACATCAAGGCATGCACGGGCAGTCCCCAGCATGCACATCAAGGCATGCACGGGCAGTCCCCAGCATGCACATCAAGGCATGCACGGGCAGTCCCCAGCATGCACATCAAGGCATGCACGGGCAGTCCCCAGCATGCACATCAAGGCATGCACGGGCAGTCCCCAGCATGCACATCAAGGCATGCACGGGCAGTCCCCAGCATGCACATCAAGGCATGCACGGGCAGTCCCCAGCATGCACATCAAGGCATGCACGGGCAGTCCCCAGCATGCACATCAAGGCATGCACGGGCAGTCCCCAGCATGCACATCAAGGCATGCACGGGCAGTCCCCAGCATGCACATCAAGGCATGCACGGGCAGTCCCCAGCATGCACATCAAGGCATGCACGGGCAGTCCCCAGCATGCACATCAAGGCATGCACGGGCAGTCCCCAGCATGCACATCAAGGCATGCACGGGCAGTCCCCAGCATGCACATCAAGGCATGCACGGGCAGTCCCCAGCATGCACATCAAGGCATGCACGGGCAGTCCCCAGCATGCACATCAAGGCATGCACGGGCAGTCCCCAGCATGCACATCAAGGCATGCACGGGCAGTCCCCAGCATGCACATCAAGGCATGCACGGGCAGTCCCCAGCATGCACATCAAGGCATGCACGGGCAGTCCCCAGCATGCACATCAAGGCATGCACGGGCAGTCCCCAGCATGCACATCAAGGCATGCACGGGCAGTCCCCAGCATGCACATCAAGGCATGCACGGGCAGTCCCCAGCATGCACATCAAGGCATGCACGGGCAGTCCCCAGCATGCACATCAAGGCATGCACGGGCAGTCCCCAGCATGCACATCAAGGCATGCACGGGCAGTCCCCAGCATGCACATCAAGGCATGCACGGGCAGTCCCCAGCATGCACATCAAGGCATGCACGGGCAGTCCCCAGCATGCACATCAAGGCATGCACGGGCAGTCCCCAGCATGCACATCAAGGCATGCACGGGCAGTCCCCAGCATGCACATCAAGGCATGCACGGGCAGTCCCCAGCATGCACATCAAGGCATGCACGGGCAGTCCCCAGCATGCACATCAAGGCATGCACGGGCAGTCCCCAGCATGCACATCAAGGCATGCACGGGCAGTCCCCAGCATGCACATCAAGGCATGCACGGGCAGTCCCCAGCATGCACATCAAGGCATGCACGGGCAGTCCCCAGCATGCACATCAAGGCATGCACGGGCAGTCCCCAGCATGCACATCAAGGCATGCACGGGCAGTCCCCAGCATGCACATCAAGGCATGCACGGGCAGTCCCCAGCATGCACATCAAGGCATGCACGGGCAGTCCCCAGCATGCACATCAAGGCATGCACGGGCAGTCCCCAGCATGCACATCAAGGCATGCACGGGCAGTCCCCAGCATGCACATCAAGGCATGCACGGGCAGTCCCCAGCATGCACATCAAGGCATGCACGGGCAGTCCCCAGCATGCACATCAAGGCATGCACGGGCAGTCCCCAGCATGCACATCAAGGCATGCACGGGCAGTCCCCAGCATGCACATCAAGGCATGCACGGGCAGTCCCCAGCATGCACATCAAGGCATGCACGGGCAGTCCCCAGCATGCACATCAAGGCATGCACGGGCAGTCCCCAGCATGCACATCAAGGCATGCACGGGCAGTCCCCAGCATGCACATCAAGGCATGCACGGGCAGTCCCCAGCATGCACATCAAGGCATGCACGGGCAGTCCCCAGCATGCACATCAAGGCATGCACGGGCAGTCCCCAGCATGCACATCAAGGCATGCACGGGCAGTCCCCAGCATGCACATCAAGGCATGCACGGGCAGTCCCCAGCATGCACATCAAGGCATGCACGGGCAGTCCCCAGCATGCACATCAAGGCATGCACGGGCAGTCCCCAGCATGCACATCAAGGCATGCACGGGCAGTCCCCAGCATGCACATCAAGGCATGCACGGGCAGTCCCCAGCATGCACATCAAGGCATGCACGGGCAGTCCCCAGCATGCACATCAAGGCATGCACGGGCAGTCCCCAGCATGCACATCAAGGCATGCACGGGCAGTCCCCAGCATGCACATCAAGGCATGCACGGGCAGTCCCCAGCATGCACATCAAGGCATGCACGGGCAGTCCCCAGCATGCACATCAAGGCATGCACGGGCAGTCCCCAGCATGCACATCAAGGCATGCACGGGCAGTCCCCAGCATGCACATCAAGGCATGCACGGGCAGTCCCCAGCATGCACATCAAGGCATGCACGGGCAGTCCCCAGCATGCACATCAAGGCATGCACGGGCAGTCCCCAGCATGCACATCAAGGCATGCACGGGCAGTCCCCAGCATGCACATCAAGGCATGCACGGGCAGTCCCCAGCATGCACATCAAGGCATGCACGGGCAGTCCCCAGCATGCACATCAAGGCATGCACGGGCAGTCCCCAGCATGCACATCAAGGCATGCACGGGCAGTCCCCAGCATGCACATCAAGGCATGCACGGGCAGTCCCCAGCATGCACATCAAGGCATGCACGGGCAGTCCCCAGCATGCACATCAAGGCATGCACGGGCAGTCCCCAGCATGCACATCAAGGCATGCACGGGCAGTCCCCAGCATGCACATCAAGGCATGCACGGGCAGTCCCCAGCATGCACATCAAGGCATGCACGGGCAGTCCCCAGCATGCACATCAAGGCATGCACGGGCAGTCCCCAGCATGCACATCAAGGCATGCACGGGCAGTCCCCAGCATGCACATCAAGGCATGCACGGGCAGTCCCCAGCATGCACATCAAGGCATGCACGGGCAGTCCCCAGCATGCACATCAAGGCATGCACGGGCAGTCCCCAGCATGCACATCAAGGCATGCACGGGCAGTCCCCAGCATGCACATCAAGGCATGCACGGGCAGTCCCCAGCATGCACATCAAGGCATGCACGGGCAGTCCCCAGCATGCACATCAAGGCATGCACGGGCAGTCCCCAGCATGCACATCAAGGCATGCACGGGCAGTCCCCAGCATGCACATCAAGGCATGCACGGGCAGTCCCCAGCATGCACATCAAGGCATGCACGGGCAGTCCCCAGCATGCACATCAAGGCATGCACGGGCAGTCCCCAGCATGCACATCAAGGCATGCACGGGCAGTCCCCAGCATGCACATCAAGGCATGCACGGGCAGTCCCCAGCATGCACATCAAGGCATGCACGGGCAGTCCCCAGCATGCACATCAAGGCATGCACGGGCAGTCCCCAGCATGCACATCAAGGCATGCACGGGCAGTCCCCAGCATGCACATCAAGGCATGCACGGGCAGTCCCCAGCATGCACATCAAGGCATGCACGGGCAGTCCCCAGCATGCACATCAAGGCATGCACGGGC